TTGAGAACACAGAAATGCTGGACTACTCTCACAACCACCATGTCAGACTACACAGAGAAGCCATTGAAATCCACAAGCATGTGGACAATTTCAACAGAAAGGAGGAAACCATGAAAATGAACAAAATCTGGCTACCAGTATTAAAAAAACCTCTAAAATTACAACAGCAAAACAACAGAGGAAAAACAATCAGGGACATCTAATCACCTCTCAACAAAAGATTGCCCCAGGCACTAACAAGCCACACCAAACAACTGCCAGGCCATCAAATGCTAATCAAGGTGGTCAGTTGAAACATTCACACCTAGCTCCAACAGACAAGAGTTCTTTGGCCCACCCTGGTCATTCCACAGATATATAAACCCATTTCCTAGTTCCAACAGACCTCACTGCCTCCGAGGATGCTTGCCATAGATGCAGGCGAAACGTCAGGAGAGAATGCTTCTAGAACATGGCCATATAGCCCGAAAAAACCTACAACAAACAGTGATTCCGGCCATGAAAGCCTTCGACAATGCATTCACCATAAACAGCTTGCATTCACCTTTGGAGTGACACCTTCTGCTGTCAAGAATTCAATGACGGCACGTTGCTTAAGTCGCATTGACCGACCATCTGCACAGGGTTCCATACTTTGCACTTTAACAACACAACCGTTCAATGCTAAGGCTTCCCACCAAAATGGAACTGTAGAGGAGAGTCTACTGAACAAGCCAGTACCTGCCGCATACCAGTACTGCCATCTGTTGAGGAGTTATGAAGGCGGAGGCATTACTTTTCATTCAACCCATGTATCTATTTCTTCTCTCCTCTGTTTCTACTCTCATTCTAATTGGTTATGTCGAATGGATACTTTGCAGATGCATGCCTTTTGTCCTTGCCTTCTCCTTTTCCATCTTGGTGTGTGCTGTGTGTTTTGAGCTCTCTCTCCGCTTGTGTCAGGAGAGATGTAATGCTTGGAGTCTTTTCCCACTCCAGTTTCTCTGCTTCCCAAATAGCCAGCCACCGGGCCATTTCCAGGGAGAGTAACATAAATGTCAAATGAAACTGATTTCACACACACACATACACACACCACCATTGGTTCTGGTCTCCAAAGTCACCTTTATTTATCAGGTGAGGCCTTTTCTTTGCATAAGTAACCTTGTCAATGTTTTCCTTGCAAGTCTAGACCTGTACCCGTAGCCCTGGAGACTGGGCAGAGAGAGGCATGAACTCCACACGCATTCCATTCACGATGACCAATTTGTCAGGCTCAATAAACCTAGGTTGCTCTTTATGTAAGTCATTGCTCACCCAAGTATGCTACTAGTCCATACCTTTCAAAACATTACACTCCATTTCTGAAACTTTGAGATGGCTGAACAGAAGCTCTCCAAAGCTCTAGGTGCCCTTACTGCCTATTACAGGGAAAACCAGCTGATCCCTAATCCATCTAAAACACAGACATGTGCCTTTCACCTTAAGAACAGAGAAGCATCCCGAGCTCTGAAGATCACCTGGGAAGGAATCCCACGGGAGCATTGCAGCGCACCCAAATCCCTGGGAGTCACTCTGGACCGTGCTCTGACCTACAAGAAGCACTGCCTGAACATCAAGCAAAAAGTGGGTGCTAGAAACAATATCATACGAAAGCTGACTGGCACAACCTGGGGATCACAACCAGACACAGTGAAGACATCTGCCCTTGCGCTAGGCTACTCTGCTGCTGAGTACGCATGCCCAGTATGGAACACATCTCACCATGCTAAAACAGTGGATGTGGCTCTTAATGAGACATGCCGCATTATCACGGGGTGTCTGCGCCTACACCACTGGAGAAATTACACTGCTTAGCCGGTATTGCACCACCTGACATCCGCCGGGAAGGACCAAGGCAGAGAGACATCTCTAGATCATCCCCTGTTTGGGTATCAGCCAGCACGTCAATGACTTAAATCTAGAAATAGTTTTCTAAGATCTACAGAGACACTCGCTGGAACACCCCAGCAAGCGAGAGTCCAAAAGTGGCAGGCTCAAACCCAGAACCTCAATCAATGGCTGATACCAAGTGAGAGACTCCCCCCTGGGCACACAGAAGACTGGGCGACTTGGAAGGACTGCGCTCTGGCACCACGAGATGCAGAGCCAACCTTCAGAAATGGGGCTACAAAGTGGAATCCACAACATGCGAGCGTGGAGAAGAGCAAACCACTGACCACCTGCTGCAATGCACCCTGAGCCCTGCCACATGTACAAGGGAGGACCTCCTTGCGGCAACACCAGAGGCGCTCCAAAGGGCCAGATACTGGTTAAAGGACATTGAATTGAGATCTACAGAGACACTTGCTGGAACACCTCAGCAAGTGAGAGTCCAAAAGTGGCAGGCTCAAACCAGAACCTCAATCAATGGCTGATACCAAATGAGAGACTCCCCTCTGGGCACACAGAAAACGGATGACTTGGAAGCGCTGAACAGCTGCACTCTGGCACCACGAGATGCAGAGCCAACCTTCAGAAATGGGGCCACAAAGTGGAGTCCACGACATGCGAGTGTGGAGAAGAGCAAACCACTGACCACCTGCTGCAATGCACCCTGAGCCCTGCCACATGCACAAGGGAGGACCTCCTTGCGGCAACACCAGAAGCACTCCAAGTGACCAGATACTGGTCAAAGGACATTTAGATCTACAGAGACACTTGCTGGAACACCTCAGCAAGCGAGAGTCCAAAAGTGGCAGGCTCAAACCCAGAACCTCAATCAATGGCTGATACCAAATGAGAGACTCCCTCCTGGGCACACAGAAAACTGGGTGACTTGGAAGGTGCTGAACAGACTGCGCTCTGGCACCACGAGATGCAGAGCCAACCTTAAGAAATGGGGCTACAAAGTGGAATCCACGACATGCGAGTGCGGAGAAGAGCAAACCACTGACCACCTGCTGCAATGCACCTGAGCCCTGCCACATGCACAATGGAGGACCTTCTTGCGGCAACACCAGAGGCACTCCAAGTGGCCAGATACTGGTCAAAGGACATTTAATCAACTACCAAGTTTGCAAACTTTGTGTTTTTTTTATCTGTTTGCTTGTTTTGTTCTGTTAGAAATGTAATACAATGGTCTGGTTGCTGATGACACGATAAATAAATTTCTGAAACATGGAACTCCTTGGCACATACTCCCAAGAGGCTGAAATAGTCAACAAGGCAATTTTACTCAGCTCCTGCAGAAAGTCAAGCTCTTTCCCTGCCCTTCCAACACCATCCTATACATGTTTTGCTGTTGTCATCTGCTTTAAACTCATTTTTCACGTCGCGCAAACTTAGGCGACTCTACCATGGGGTTTGATTGGCAAAATTGGTTCGGAGGAGCTCTGTCTTTGGTTTCCAATGAGGCTGAGAGAGTGTGGACTTCCATGACTGAGCAGGGATTCGAACCCTGGTCTCAAGTCTACTCAGAAGTAAATCCCATCCATTTTAATGGTTTGCTATAGAGGACATTTAGAACTTAATTTTTTTTAGATGATGTGTATAATAACACTTGTGTAGAAGATATAGAATCATAGAATCAAAGAGTTGGAAGAGACCTCATGGGCCATCCAGTCCAACCCCATTCTGCCAAGAAGCAGGAATATTGCATTCAAATCACCCCTGACAGATGGCCATCCAGCCTCTGTTTAAAAGCTTCCAAAGAAGGAGCCTCCACCACACTCCGGGGCAGAGAGTTCCACGGCTGAACGGCTCTCACAGTCAGGAAGTTCTTCCTCATGTTCAGATGGAATCTCCTTTCTTGTAGTTTGAAGCCATTGTTCCATGTCCTAGTCTCCAGGGAAGCAGAAAACAAGCTTGCTCCCTCCTCCCTGTGGCTTCCTCTCACATATTTATACATGGCTATCATGTCTCCTCTCAGCCTTCTCTTCTTCAGGCTAAACATGCCCAGCTCCTTAAGCCGCTCCTCGTAGGGCTTGTTCTCCAGACCCTTGATCATTTTAGTTCGCCCTCCTCTGGACACATTCCAGCTTGTCAATATCTCTCTTGAATTGTGGTGCCCAGAATTGGACACAATATTCCAGGTGTGGTCTAACCAAAGCGGAATAGAGCATGGGGAGCATGACTTCCCTAGATCTAGACACTATGCTCCTCTTGATGCAGGCCAAAATCCCATTGGCTTTTTTTGCCGCCACATCACATTGTTGGCTCATGTTTAACTTGTTGTCCACGAGGACTCCAAGATCTTTTTCACACGTACTGCTTTCAAGCCAGGCATTGTCCCCCATTCTGTATCTTTGCATTTCATTTTTCCTGCCAAAGTGGAGTATCTTGCATTTGTCACTGTTGAACTTCATTTTGTTAGTTTTGGCCCATCTCTCTAATCTGTCAAGATCGTTTTGAATTCTGCTCCTGTCCTCTGGAGTCTTGGCTCTCCCTCCCAATTTGGTGTCGTCTGCAAACTTGATGATCATGCCTTCTAGATGTAACAACTATAATGTGAGTGTGTGTGTGTGTGTGTATACTTTTATCTTCCCGGGGCTGTGGGTTAAACCAATGTTCTGCTGCACTGCTGACCTGAAGGTCGGCAGTTCAAATTCATAGGATGGGGTGAGCGCCCGCTGTTAGCTCTAGCTCCTGCCAAACTAGCAGTACCACCTGAGAGTGAAAAGGCAAAAAGACATTCTAGCCACAAGACCAGGTGATGTCTACAGCTCCTTGGCTTGGAAATGGAGAAGAGCCTATCTCCGAGAGCCAGAGATGAGCACTGCTTCCAGAGCCAGAAATGAAAGGAGAAGCCAGTAGACCTGCTCTCCAAAGTTGTAGCCTAACACTCCAACCACTACAGCACACTGGTTCGCGAACAACATCTGGCAGGCTTCACAATGGCTAACCCTACTGTCCCCAGTTGCTATCTTCAGAGTCAAACTAGCAACCATCATGATGTCCAAAACATTATTAAAACAGTTCTCATTCCAATCCAGGCCTGTTGGCCTCCTTGCCACTGTCAGAATAGAAAAATGTCAGCTTACCTGGTGGCTGGAAGGACTCCTCATTTGTTAATGTGCTGGACAGGATGAGGATGAGGGCATCTTTGAACTGGTCAAAGTGGACCTGGAAGGAGAAGAAGGAGAAACACACAGAGGGGGTTCAGGCAATGCACATGGTTCAGAGGGTTTGCTATTACCTGCAGTCTCGTGCATCTACAATCATAGAATCAAAGAGTTGGAAGAGATCTCCTGGGCCATCCAGTCCAACCCCATTCTGCCAAGAAGCAGGAATATTGCATTCAAATCACCCCTGACAGATGGCCATCCAGCCTCTGTTTAAAAGCTTCCAAAGAAGGCGCTTCCACCACACTCCGGGGCAGAGAGTTCCACTGCTGAACGGCTCTCACAGTCAGGAAGTTCTTCCTCATGTTCAGATGGAATCTCCTCTCTTGTAGTTTGAAGCCATTGTTCCACGTTCTAGTCTCCAGGGAAGCAGAAAACAAGCTTGCTCCCTCCTCCCTGTGGCTTCCTCTCACATATTTATACATGGCTATCATCTCCTCTCAGCCTTCTCTTCTTCAGGCTAAACATGCCCAGCTCTTTAAGCCACTCCTCATAGGGCTTGTTCTCCAGACCCTTGATCATTTTAGTTGCCCTCCTCTGGGCACATTCCAGCTTGTCAATATCTCTCTTGAATTGTGGTGCCCAGAATTGGACACAATATTCCAGGTGTGGTCTAACCAAAGCAGAATAGAGGGGTAGCATGACTTCCCTAGATCTAGACACTAGGCTCCTATTGATGCAGGCCAAAATCCCATTGGCTTTTTTGCCGCCACATCACATTGTTGGCTCATGTTTAACTTGTTGTCCACGAGGACTCCAAGATCTTTTTCACACGTACTGCTCTCGAGCCAGGCATCCCCCATTCTGTATCTTTGCATTTCGTTTTTCCTGCCAAAGTGGAGTATCTTGCGTTTGTCACTGTTGAACTTCATTTTGTTAGCATCTGTGCAAAACCCTGGAATTTATTATCTCATGGATATTGGGGAGAGACGATGTTACAATGCATTTTAAATCATTTTAAGGAACATTTTAAGAGTTGTGATTTTTTGATAAAGTATTTCTACGGTATGTCTTAAACTCAACTTTTCAATTTTCTAAGAGTCCTTAGAAAATGGAAATAACAACAACAACAACAACAGAAACTTTGGAAAAGGAGACAAAGGAGGGCCTGATTCTGGCAGCCCAAGAACAAGCCATTCGAACCAATGCCATCAAAGCCAGAATTGAAAAGTCGACGACAGATCCCAAGTGTAGACTCTGCAAGGAAGCAGATGAAACAATAGATCCCATCCTCAGCTGCTGCAAGAAGATCAAGCAGACAGACTACAAGCAGAGGCACAACATCGTTGCTCATTGGAACTTGTGGCACAAACACCACCTGCCTGCAACAAAGAACTGATGGGATCACAAGCCTGAAAAAGTTACAGAAAATGAACACGTCAAACTCCTCTGGGACTTCCGAATTCAGACTGACAGAGTTTTGGAGCACAAGACTCCTGGCCCCATGATCGTGTTAAAAAACAAAGTATGGAATGTTGATGTTGCAATCCCAGGTGACAGCAGGATTGAAGAGAAACAACTGGAAAAGCTGACACAATATGAAGATTTAAAGATCGAATTGCAAAGACTCTGGCACAAACCAGTCAAGGTGGTCCCAGTGGTGATTGGCCATGCCTAAAGATCTTGGCCTGCACTTAAACACAATCAGCACTGACAAAATTACCATCTGCCAGCTGCAAAAGGCCACCTTACTGGGATCTGAAAGTATTATTTGCCGATACATCGCACAGTCCTAGACACTTGGGAAGTGTCTGATGTATGATCCAATACAACAGCCAGCAGAATGATCTTGTTTGCTGTGGACTCATCTTGTTGTGTTTCAAGTAATAATAATAACAACAACAATAACAACAATAACCGAACTGCAAAGACTGTGGCATAAGCCAGTAAAGCTGGTCCCAGTGGTGATGGGCACACTGTGTGCAGTGCCTAAAGACCTTGACCTGCACTTAATCACAATTGGCGCTGACAAAATTACCACTGTCAGCTGCAAAGGGCCACCCTACTGGGATCTGCATGCATTATTCGCCGATAAATCACATAGTCCTAGACACTTGGGGAGTTTCTGACGTGTGATCCAATACAACAACCAGCATAGTGATCTTTTTTGCTGTGGACTCATCTTGTTGTGTTTCTAATAGTAATAGTAATAATAGAACTGCAAAGACTCTGGCACAAGCCAGTCAAGGTGTCCTACTGGTGAATGGCACACTGGGAGCAGTGCCTCAAGACCTTGGCCTGCACTTAAAAACAATTGGCGCTGACAAAATCACCACCTGTCAGCTGCAAAAGGCCACCCTACTCGGATCTGTAGGCAATAGGCATTATTCACCGGTACATCACTTGGGAAGTGTTTGATGTGAGATCGAATACAAAAGCCAGGATAGGGATCTTGTTTGCTGTTTATCAAATAATAATAATAATAACAACAACATTTTATTTATATTCCACCCTACTCCCCAAGTGGACTCAGAGCAGATTACAGCATATAAACAGACACAGGCAAACATTCAGTGCCTTGTTACAATGAGATACAACAAGATACAAAGACACAGGCAAAGGCAAAGGCTTCTCCTTTCATTTCCGGCTCTGGATGCAGTCCTCATCTCTGACTCTGTGGGAGGTGCTCTTCTCCATTTCCAAGCCGGGGAGCCTGTTGTCCATAAACACCTCCTGGTTATGTGGCCAGCATGACTATTTGGAGCCAAAGCGGTACCTATTGCTCTATTCACATTTGCATGCTTTCAAACTACTAGGTTAGGATCCGAGGAGTGTGCGGATGAGCTCCCTCTGTCATCTCCAGCTTCCCATGCAGGAACATGAGAGAAGCCTCCCACAAGGATGGTAAAACATCAAAACATCCAGGCATCTCTTGGGCAACGTCCTTGCAGACGGCCAATCTTCTCACACCAGAAGCAACTTGCAGTTTCTCAAATTGCTCCAAACACGGGGGGAAAAACCTACTAGGTTGGCAGGAGCTATGGCTAACTGCAGGAGCTCACCCCGTCCCACAGATCTAAACACAAGGGTTTAACCCACTATGGTTTATAATTTCAGGAGATGTTCAGGTAGCCTCTACTGCCTATGCAAACCACATGTAAACCAGGCATGCACAAACATTGGCCCTCCAGGTGTTTTGGACTTCAACTCCCACAATTCCTAACAGCCTACCGGCTGTTAGGAATTGTGGGAGTTGAAGTCCAAAACACCTGGAAGGCCAAAGTTTGCCCATTCTTGATGAGGACCCATTGCATCTGTATATGCAATAGCACTGTACGCACAATCCTATTTTTACAATCTCGAAAACAACGGTGCTGTTCTGCAAGAGACAAAAGTCCCCAGCGGCTTCCATAGAGGAAATTGCACATTTGCTGTAAAAAGACTTAAAAACGCATTTTGGCCCAAATATCAAACTGTCTTTCACTCCTCGAGACGACAACCCACTTCCTTTCCCTTTTCCATCCAGATCTGAGTCCCCCTTATTCTTCAAGAACGACGAGAGGAAATAAAGAAACACGCTTTGCCCTAACAGGTTTTGAGTTCCTTGTGATCCTATTCCAAACAAACAAATCCTTTTTTGCACGTCTGAGATTTCCGAGCCTTTCGAGCCGCATCCAGGCCCCTGGGCGCTACAGAGACCTATGTTATTTCAGGAAGAGACGCCCGTGAATAATAAACAACGCTAATTAAGCAGCATCGGGAAAGCCAGTGACGACCATGACGCAGGAGGCAACCTTGCTCTCTCAAGCAGAAAATCCCCAATCCTGTCAAAATCAGGGTGGAGAGCTGTGACCGAGGTTAAAATCACAAGTATTTCTCACTTCTTTGTAGGGTTGTGGCAGCTGGAGAGTGAATGAAGATGACAGAAAAACAGAGTAATTGCAAATGTGGTGCTGAAGGAGAGTTCCACCGATGCCACAGATGCATAAATGGGATCAAGAGCAAATCAAGACTGAACTCACATTAGAATCACAGGCTCGAAGAGTCTCCCCAGTCCAGCACCAGGCCATAATAATAATAATAATAATAATAATAATAATAATAATAATAATAATAATAATGAGGAGGAGGAGGAGGAAGCAATCAGAGCCAGAATTGATCTCAAGTGTAGACTCTGCAAGGAACCAGATGAAACAATAGATCCCACCCTCAGCTGCTGCAAGAAGATCGTGTAGACAGACTATCAGCAGAGGCATAACACTGTTGCTCAGATGATGCATTGGAACTTGTGCCACAAATACCATCTGCCTGCGACAAAGTTGCCATTCCAAGTGACAGCAGGATTGAAGAGAAACAATGGGAAAAGTTGACATGATACAAGGATCGAACTGCAAAGACTCTGGCACAAACTAGTATAACTGGTCCCAACGGAGATCGGCACACTGGGTGCAGTGCCTAAAGACCTTGGCCTGCACTTAAACAGAAGGGAGACTTTCTGGAATGGAGGAAGTCAATAGTAGAAAACTGCTAAAAGTGCAAAAGACAAAGAGGGAATACCGTAAAAATACAATGCAGAGCAGAAGAGAAAACTGACCAAAAAAGACTCCCTTTACACAGACAGTTCCTGAGGAAAATTAAGAGCCAAATTGAGAAGGGATAAAACATAGCTGTGGCTCACAAATGGAACTTGGAAAAAGGAGATGGAGGAGGGCCTGATTCTGGCATCCCAAGAACAAGCCATTTGAACCAATGCCCTCAAAGCCAGAATTGGAAAGTCGATGATAGATCCCAAGTGTAGACTCTGCAAGGAAGCAGATGAAACAATAGCTCCCATCCTCAGCTGCTGCAAGAAGATCGCGCAGACAGACTACAAGCAGAGGCACAACACCTTTGCTCAGATAATTCATTGGAACTTGTGCCACAAACACCATCTGCTTGCAACAAAGAACTGGTGGGATCACAAGCCAGAAAAAGTTACAGAAAATGAACAATCTGGGACTTCCATATTCAGACAGGCAGAGTTTTGGAGCACCATACTCCTGACCTCACGATCGTGGATCG